ATACTGCCTGCCTGCCTGGCAGATGCTGGTTCTTGTTATCAGCCCTCTTTCCACCTTATTTATGTGGTGACTTACAACCCGACACCCCCTTTTCCCCTCACAGACTGCTCCTTTGCCCACGCAGACACACTTTCATATGAATAAATGTCTGTTTTGTTGCTTTCGTTGCCCATAGATACAGCACTCAAGAGCACATTTTAGTATTATACAACACAAACAGGAAACATGTTCTTATGATTAAAGGCAATCCTCAAAATAAAAGACCAATGAACAGGAGGGAAGGTTGCAAATGAGAAACCATGTTCCATGTGCTCAAAATTTAAGAAAATTTAGAATTATGGGTAGTTGAAATTTTAAACTATAAATTATGGCATGTAACTTTTTTAGAAAGCTAACTTCCACTACCGAAGTGCATCTCTGTGAAGTTGTAGACAGGCGCAGCTTAGAGCTAAATCCTCATGTCAGCATGCTAACATGCTCACAATGAAAATGTTCAAGGCGAGTAATGAATGATCTGCTGCACATCTGTGGTCGCCATCGTAGTTTAGCTTAGTTTAGCTTGTTAGCATGATACAATTTACTAATTAGCCCTTACAAAGTGCCGCTTAGACTAATGGGAATGTCATTAGTTTGGCAGGTATTTGGTCATAAACCTGAAGACACTTCCATCCCTTGAGCCACGCTGCTAGGGAGCTAAAACAATGCTACCCTGGCAGATACAGTGCTGGGCAGGGGCATCGCTAAAATGACATAGAAGCTGCATGCCAGGTCTCGTTGGAAATAATTTTTGTTTAATTTTTATTCAGGTGCACTGAACTTGTTACGTGATACAATTCCAGTATCTTTTTTAAAAGCTCCTATAGTCTCAGAGGCAGGAAAACATCTGTACAAGCGCCTCATCTCTTCATCTCCTATCTGTCTCATATCCATATATTAGTTTCTCTTTTACACCCCAGTTTCACACTGCTGTGCTCTTATTGACAAGCCCCTACTGTGATATTTATGTCACATATTTAATATGGACATGGGAATGATTATCAAATCCATAGTTGCCAAGAGAGTCCGATCGGCCTTAAATAATGGATGAGCAAGGATGCGACTCAATTTGTGAGGCCGCACAGAAAGACAGGGCAAGTGCAGCCATCGACCCCTCCGCCCACCCCCATCGCTTTCTCCCTCTCCGGAACGTCATTATTCTGGTCGATCTTTTCTCCCCTCGCTTGACATCATTCAATGTAATCATCCTTCAATAAAAAACCTGCTTGTAATAAAAGGAACAACCCGGGTCAATACACAGAATATGGAGAAGGATGACCCTGTGCTAGGAGACAGCGTATAAATGGGCCTCTTTATCAAAGCGGATAGCCGCCTGGTGCCTTAACAGGAATTCGACCATGGATGGAGTTGTCATTACTGTTACCTTTTGTATCATCTGTGTTTGTGCTCTGTGAATATGAGGAAGAATGATGGCTACATTAATGAATCAATGGGCTAATGAAGCAGCCATTGTGTTGCTTTATTGAAATACACTGAGGAGAATTGAAGACTTCTGCAGCATCTCTACACTGAATACTCTGCTGTCATATTACTGGATTGCCACTCTCACCCATAGCGGAGAATAAAATCAGAATCAACATTTTCTATAGTGATTGGCATCTGTCATATGACAGCTGCGCACCAAACGGTATTGCATTCAAGGAAAGAAGTGCTGGGGAAGAGAAAAGAGCAAAAAGGAAACAAAGGTCACAACGATTGTCACATGCTGTTATTCAACTACACACAAGCCAGTTTGGACTGAGGACGGTTCGAGGGTCAAATTAGCTGACAGGGTAATTTTGAAAGGACGACATGCAGAGCTGCTGATTATCCCTGAGCTAGCATCATTTTTGTTTATCAAAAAATGTTAATTGCCTTTTTTTACGAGTAGGAAAAGATTAAAAGTTAATAGGAGAGACTAAATAAACACAATGCAATTGCATGAGGCTGTAGAAGATGGTAATTAATTTGTGGCCACCCCTGAGCTAATTAGCTAATATAAAGCAGGAAAAAAGAAGTTAATGAGGCTTAATGTAACTGATACACTGAAAAGTTTAGACTAATGAATTTATGAATGCGTGAGGAAATCAACTTCATGCTCGCTGCCGACTCTCACGTTGCGAGGCACCTCCTGGAGATGGAAAACTTAGTTGTTGTAACTCGATCACCTTTGATGTGCAGTGTAAGAGTTTAGCGCTGTATAAAATGTCATAGCTCTGTTTGATTCGGTGTGTGTGAAAGCAGAATCAGAACTACTGCCTCCATGCCGAGTGAGAGATGGTGGACCATAGGAGGGCCCATACCAGCCCAGCGGTTAGTTTGTTTTGTGAATCCTCAGGGTGTATCTGATCTGAGGATACAGGAGCTTGTATATTGGGAGGTCTGGGGAGGTCAGTTTGCTCGGGGAGAGGGAGGAACGTAAAATAATAATCTGCTGCCAACTTCCCGTGGGGCTCATGGTGAAGATGGTCCAGGGGGCTATGTCACATGCTAATCCCACCATACTCCAGCATCTTAACTACACCTTTTAATATCCTCCACTGGGTCCTGAGTGATTGGTGTGTCACCTCTTAGCATGTTCACTCTTGTAATATCTGTCGCTCTTCTCACCTCTGATGTTCATTTTAAGAAACAGCTTATTATTTCTACTTATTTCTACTGTGCTGACCGCAGAGGACATTACTTACACTCAATAGGGTCACAATGGCATTTACTGTTGACACTATGGACTAAGGTTCATGGGTAATTTGAATTAAATTATAGGGCCATGATGAATCCTGCTAGTGAGTGGGAGCCAGAGCGGCGAGGTAATCAGGTAATTGCAGCTTTCATAAATGTAATTTATCACGAAGGCAAAGGCCAGCAGTGGTAGCTGACTAACTAGCACGCTTGCCGTCTCTTCAGACTGACCTGCAAAGCTTTCACATGGTGACATATCTTTATGAGCTGTAGAGAAGCATAATGGGTGATAAGACAGAAATACCACCATCAAAGCATCCCTGTCATATTACATAAATCAGCGCTCTAAATGGACATCTTCCCACACAGTTTGCTTTCTTGTTCATGGTTTACTGCGGGTAATTTGTCAATCACACTTTGATGGAGCAGCACAGATGCTTTTAATGACATTCATATAATAGATTTACAAGTGTCAAAGACTCTATTGCAGTGTCACAAATGGGAACCTGATGGATGAGCTGGTGTGTCGCATGATCTGTACAGTATAATCAGCACTGGCAGGGAGCATATTGTACTTTTTAGTTGAAGTTACTCAAACAGAAATGTGGCATTATATGAATTATGTTAATGACATTTCTTCACCACAAATTTGTTTTTGTGAAATACCACAATTTGGACACCATGTATCCTCCTGGTTGTCATGACAAAAGGTTAAAATTTAACTGTGGGGTTACCGTTGAAAAGTGGCTACATTTATAAAGAGCTTTTATTCAAGGCGCTTTACAATTTACCCCTCATCACCCATTCACACACGCCAATGGCAACCCAAGGATGGTTCGATGTGTAGACAGGAAGAGGGCTGAACCACCAACCCTGTGATTAGTGGGCAGCCCGCTCACAGCCAGCCCCACTTGTCTAGATTAGACTATTCAAAAGTTTGACATTTTGGGAATTACAGACAATTCTCGAAACTATTCTCTATTTCTTTTGTGTCAAGAGTTAGATTAAAGATTGATACTACTGCTTAGCTTAGCCCACCAGCACCTCTAAAGTTCACTAATTGCTATCTTTTGTCATTTCTTGAATGCATACAAAAACTTAAGAGTAAAAAAGTTGTGGTTTTTCTAAACTGGGGCCAGTAACTTCCTGGAATCTCAGCTGGTCGGCTTATAAAGGTCTAGTGTGGAGGATTTAGTGGCATCTAGTGGTGTAGTTTCAGATTGCAACTCCCTCGCATCCCCTAACTTTCCAAGGGAGAGGGGAAACGGCAGCAAATCTCCCGAACACCTAGAGCCAGTGTTTGGTTTGTCCGTTCTGGGCTACTTTAGAAACATGGTGGTTCAACATGGCGTCTGCCACGATAGACGACCCGCTTTATCATTGATAAAAGTTGCTCATTTAAAGGTAACAAAAATACATATTTTCAGGTGATTAAACATTAATGAAAACTGTAGGAGCCAATTTCTTAGTTTGTATTGATATTTTTTTTTATCTATAACTAATATTGGCCATTTTGTATTGTGTGTGTGTGTATGTGGTGTGTAGTTATTGATGAGACCTCTGAGTATTATATTCAATTTCTGGGCCCCCTAAATGTTACACACTGGACCTTTAACCTCACAGGGATTACATGATGGCGACATGTTAATACACCTTCTTTACGGCAGTCATTTTGAGAAGAAATAGGGTAAACACAGGTGCCACCAATGATACTAATTACGGTTCTGTTCCATTCAGATCATGTTGGTTCACTGGAGAGGCTCTGCTACACTAAATGGAACAGAACTTTAATTAGTGTCATTGGTAACACCTGTGATTACCCTACTATTTCATGACAAAATGGCTGCAGTGAAAAAGGTCTCATGCTATAGTGTGTTTTAGCCTTTAGACCGAGCCAAGCTTTCCCCATTTCCCCTATCCAATCTTTATACTAAGCTAAGGATTGCTAATTGGCTGTTGCCTGTAGCTTCACATTTAGCATACAGCCATGAAAGTGGAAGAATTCTAACTCCCGGCAAGACAGCAAATAAAGGTGTTTCCCAAAATGTCCCAACTATTGCTTTAAGAGTTTGGCAAGGGTTAGGGGTAGTAAAGTTTTGCTCACAGAAAATATTAACAGTACTGCATTTTCAGCAAAAAACAGCATACATGTTTATACATATAACATGTAACGTAACTGTACATGATATCTACATTCTAGTTCAATTTCAGACTAATACCTGTTTCTAGTCTGCCTTATGTCAATTAATACATCATAGTGAGAATTCATGTTCACAAAGCACACATTTTCATTTTAAGAAATTCTGCTCATTTATTGTAATTACCAGATAACAAGTTCTAAAGTGGCATCACAAAAACGGTACAGTACATCGATTTCCAATGGTGAAATTTGGGATTCAGCTGGTATCCTCATATCATTTATTGTGTTGAAGAACTGCAATGGCAATCTCAAGCAGAGTGCTCTGGGATGAACAAACATCGTCGTCGACTTAGCTCAGCTCAGATCTATATGAAACGCTGGTATCCAACCTGTTGAGAGACATGTCGAAAGCTCAGTCACAACAATTTGTCCCCTAATTCGAAACTCTACAGATACATTCAAGGCTGATTCACACATAGCCAGACTGACAAGCAGGTACATCATCAAGGAAAAACAGGAGGACAAAACCAAGCAAAATGAATAGAGGCTGTAATGATCCCTGTTTTATTTATCCCTTTGGTGGACAGTCATGAAAAACATAGGAGAGAGACGGCAAAGGCTTTGTTTATGGGTCAGATACTCATTTCATAAAAGCCTCCTGCAGAAAACTGAAACATGATAGGTCAAATACAGGTCTAAATGCCTTTTCCAGTTTTCCTATTTTCCCATTTCAACATATCCGTCTGGTGTCCGTGCTCTCTCGCCTCTGTAATGGAAAACTATTGCAGAAGCATTTCTCCGTCAGCCGGGGTCAAGAGGTCATCACTGATGTCACTCTCAAAGTAACCAGTGGCAAATAGGTCCTGACATGTGCTCTCCAATGAGAGAATGAGACTGGACAGCTCCTCTGGCTTCCCGACTGATAAGCCATAGAAAAGAATATGTGAGGCTTGGAGCATCACGGCCACTGGTTTGAGACACTAATACCAGCAGCTACATTAAGGCACAAATAACAACTGGGTGATCTGCAGGAAAGGCACGTTTTTTTTTTTACCTCCCACAATGCAATGCCACTTTGACAAATTGAGAATGTGGCCTTTATGTTTTTAAAAATAAATAACGTTACTAATTTTTTTTTTTATTGAACTTAAATGTGTGCACATCTGTATTGAAAGGGATGTAATTTTTGCTCTCAGATTTGCGTTTTACTACATACAAGTGACACTCTTCGTCTTTCCTCCTCCTTCCATCTCCTTCCCATCTCCGTCTCAAGTGTTAGAGCGAAACAAATTCCTCTTGTTCACTGTCAGATGCATGTCGTGTAGTGTGTGATTTGCTATGCACATCCCGGTCTAGTACAGATTTCTACGCCTGTTTGTTCCATACAGGCGTGCAGTGCGTCGCCATGCAGCGTGACCGCTCGCTCCCTGCCCTTGCTCCCCATCTTCAATCTCATCTGTTCTCCTGTCAGTGCAGAATATACTCGGGGAATGACATCAATTACAAAAGGGAAACATGGCAAGAGTTAAAATATAAAACCTAAATCCCTCAAATATACCTGATATTTTAGAGCTTTGTGTTTTTTTTTCCCACCATCAGCCCTTTCAAATCTCTGTCTCTTCTCTCCTCTCTGTCTCTGTCCGACTCTCCACTCGGCTAGTCGGAGAAAGGATGACTGAATGAGCAGGAGAATGGCATTTTCTGATAGAGTTACACCCCACAAATGGAGTCAATCAAGGGCCGGCTGAAAAAATTCATTTTCTGACAGATGTGTGAGCAAGATTGTCAGGCTTCCATGACAACAAATCCATAGCACTAAAAAGAAAAAAAGAAAAGGGTGTAAGGGAGTTGTGGGGGAGAAGAAAAAGAGTTAAGGAGAACCGAGAACCCTGACAAAGTGTAAAACAGGAATCCTCGGAGTGGATTCCCAGTCAATCAGAGCACTTACCTTTCAGCTGTCCATAACGCTATTTCATACCAATTATTACCCCCACTGAGCAGGTGACAGGCTTGTGTGCCGATGGCAGCGCCACGCAAACTCCCGGTAATCCCGAAATGACGGATTGGGAGGGAAGCCTTGCAGTGATTTGTGACAAAGTAACTGAACGTAGACTTCTGTACTTAGAAACGTGAGAGCAGTTTGTCTTCATGCTTATGGTAACACTCTCCACTTTGATTTGATGCATGGGTTTTAGTCCGCCTCACCAATATACTCCCTCGGCTTACGGGGGCCATCACCATTCAAGTTCTAAATTGAAAAATTGCTGTAGGGTGTCCATTGGGTGTTTACTGTGCATTAATCAATAAAAGTGATGTTTTTGTTTATGGGAAATGTCCTTTTATTTCATCATAATTAACAGCAGAGTTCACTTTGTGCCTTCTTTTAGTCCTTTGTTTTCGTTTTGTTGCACTTAGTCTAATGCATCAAAACTTCTCCAGCATTGTTCCTGCAGAGCTGAAGCAGGCATATTCACAGACAGACCATAAAGATGGTTGCTTTGTTTGACTGTTACCCATAAAACCCCCAAACCCCTCTTGCTTGTAATTTTTTTTTTTCCCAGCCGAGCCCTGAAGTCTTAAAGCTTCCCGCCTGTTATATTTCCTCCACATCAATATGTCACCTAGTGCCGCCACAGCAGGATGTCAACCTAATGCAACACCAGGGTTAAGAAAACACCATCTTTGCCCGCTGACTGATAGCCTGTCACCGCTCACACAAAAAAAGTTTAGAAATTTGATCCACCTGTCATCTCGTCTGTGATTATGAATCTCTTCCTCTAGCGGCTCAGAGGCCCATTCAGATGCAGTCTAGCTTGGCCTCGCTCAGCATTAGTTACATGGATGAGGGAGCAAACTTCAAATCAGTCCAAGTGAGTGAGAGAGAAAGAATCCAGCTCATCTTAATGTAAACAATTGGGCCCAGTGGTGAGCCCACCAAAATAGACACCAGTGTGGGGAGGACTTTCTTGTAATCTGATTTGACTTATAGGAGTCATACACCACACATTGAGGCATCTGAATGATTCTTAAAAAACTAAACAAATTAACACTCAAGCTAAGACATCTTTTTCCCCCCTCCTACCTTTTCTGCTGTTTCCCTTTCATCCCCAGAAGAAGACAGCAAACACAAAAAGAGAATACGTGTTTCTTTATCTCTAACCTCACGGTGAACTGCAGATGACCTTCTAAGTCAACTGCATTAGCTTTGGGGTGGTCAGACTAAGTGTGTGTGTATGTGTGTGTGTGTGTGTGTGTGTGTGCTTGGGGGGTGCGAGAAGAGAGAGAGAAAGAAAGGGGGATTTTTCATGCTCTCCATTACAGTTGTTTAGGTTAGAGGGGTTAACTCAATGAGGCTAAGTAAGTTTGAACTGTGAATCACATCAGCAGACTTGCACATTCACTTATGCACAATTGCAAATGTACAACCTACAGGTAATTACATTACCCCTGCTTTGCCTTTATATAAATTGCAGGGCTGAGGCATAGTGAACAGCAGATATTAAGAGGTCCTTAATTTATCATGCTGTTTTTTTAAAAAAAAACCCTTTATTATTAAGGGCTATTTGTAGGGAAATTAGTCGCTGATGGAAGGGCTTTAATTTACCTAAATTCTCTGAGCATGTATGGGGATTCGAACAGACAACCTTTCAACCTCAAAGTCATTTGTTTAACCTGCTTTCTTCAAACTGCCAAAGAAAATTTCTCGTTTTCAGTTTTCAAACAGCTTTTCCTTGACTGAGCCCCCTTTTTTTTCTTTTCCCAGATAGAGCCTGAGACTGATTTATTATAGATTTTCTGTGTTTTGATTGTTTTGCTGAGAAGCAGGATGGGAAGATGGGACTTCCAGCTGCTCTGGATGCTTGGGAGTCCTGGGAGTCCTGGCCCGGCTGCCCTCCTGGCTGGCCCAGCCAAGTGGGCATGCGCTGTTGTGGCCCGCGGCAGGGGGTTGATGGGGCTGCAGGGGCTGGGCCAGAGAGGCCACAGATGCCTTAAATGACTTGGCATGATGGGATAGCAAAGGGGCAGGATCATGGCTCGCAAGTAAATCAAAACATTTTTTCCGTAATATGTGTCGGGAGTGTTGTCAGAATCTAAAAACAAACAAGCAAAAAATCCCAACAATCAAATACACTCAGACATGGTGGGGTCTGTGAGTTGCTAAATATTGGGTCTCAAATGGTAAATGTGTGTCAGTTTTGTACTTACATTCTGTTTTTCTGATGAAAGATGATGTCTTTGTTACATTTCCTGTGCCCCTTCATACCTACGTTCTCATAAATGTGAATTTGTATCTAAAAAAAAAACCTGTATTTTTTCATTTGTATCTATAACTACTAGATTTTTATTTTACACAACCCTGTCAATGATGTCAATTGTTGGTATGCCCAATTTAACCAGCACTGAAAGGCCATTAATCCCTTTCTCCTGGACGTTTTCCCTGCACACCTCTGAACCAGGATGATCTCAGTTAGTCCTGGCTGACCTTCTCAAACAAAGACGCCCCAGGAAGGGCTTCCAACCTGCGCTTGAATCAAGCACCCATGATAGCAGACCACCAGAAGGGCCCCCATTAGATAGTAATTCATGTGGAAGCTGTGGGACCCCAATATCATTATCAAGCAGCAGACCTGCCAGCTTTTTGTTGTGCCACAGTCTGGTGTGATGCACATTCTTTGACTTTGAGGGAAACAAATCTGTATTGTTGGGAGTGGAGTTGCATGGTTTTTCTTATTTTAGATAGGAACTTTTGCATGATTTTAAGGTTAAATATAGCTGCACCTCCATAACAAATTGGATGTAATTAATGCAAAATGGATCCTATGTATGAAAAAAAGCAATTTATTTCCCTGATCCTTTACATCCTAATCATGGCTTTTTTGATGTGCAACACTGGTGCATCAAGTTTTGTGGTAATCATTTCAAACCACAATCAATCCCACTTGCTCCCATTATCGTAGCTGCAGCTTACACATGTGGCATTAATGTATTATTTATAAACAGTATCTTTGTATCGGTCTGCACGAGTGAAATGACTTGACAAAGTTTTATGCATGTGACAAATACTTTAACAGATCATAGTAACGCCTGCATTCGCACAGATTTACAAAACAGTTAATCAGCACACACAGTACATAGTAACTCACACCATTTTTTGACTTTCTGCATGCTCCTCCACCTACAAACACTCTCCTGTGACAGCGCTCAAGCACAGCAGCTCACACTGTGAAATGCAGGAAAAATGTAGGTGATCAGGTGGGACCCAGAGAGAGAGAGAGAGAGAGAGAGAGAGGGACGGGGGGGGGAGCCAAACTAGTCCCTTTAACTTTTTAAAGACTTTTCAGCATTTGTTCTGCACACTTACCTACGCAAACTCCAAGGGGCCACAGTGACTGGGGTCCCATTTCAGGCCCAGCGTGGAGCCGGAGAGCTCCTCAGCTGTAAAATGAGAGCGCCGGAGCGCAGTGTGAAAATGGATTAGCCTCGCTGAGATAAGGGGAGCCCTCAGCGAGCCATGCACGCCTTCAATGGGGAAAAAGAACTGCTGTACAAATTGTTTTTGGTACATTAAGTACCTGTTACTTTATTTCACAGATGGAAAACAATAACACAGGCTCTGGGGTTGGAACCACCGCTGCACTGAGGAATGTGAAAGGTTTAGCCCACCTAACGCCCTCAGAGTTTGCCCCTTTTTCTTAATATGCAAAGTGATTTTCTTAAGGACTTTTGACTTAAAGAATTCAACGGATTGACAAACATAACATATGATGATAAATGACAAAGTGCCAAGTGGGCAGCCAACAGGCTACTGAGGGAAATCATACAGAATATCAATGTTAATAAAAAATAAAATAAAAAAGGCTGAATGTTCCCACTCAGCAAACAGGGCAGGGATTTTTCATTAATAGGCCCGCTGCTGCACCAGGGCCCCCCAAATTAAATGAGTGTGTCAGATCCTGGATGATTTATACATTTGGACTGATCTAACAGCTCTGTGGAACAGCTATGACACCCTGACAAGCCAACAATGGATATGAAAAATGAGCCAATACCACAGCACTAAATCTGAGACTTTCAAAGCCAAATGCACGCATAGAATCGAAACCTCTAACATACTCGCAAGTATAATGAAAATAAAGTGGGGAAAAAAAATCCCCATAAGATTCTCTGCGCAATTTTAGCTAAATCATTCAGTGTTTATATGAATGGAGTGATGGAGACAAATTGGTCCGAGTGGAGAGTGGCAGTACTTTGCTTTTCTGATGTCTTTTTGTGGCTGCGAGAAGAGCACATCACTTCACAGCTAAATGAGATATCAGGCCTATTGCTGAGCTTTGACTCAATAGGAAAATGTCAAATCAAGTTAGTGCTAAGGTGCTTTTCAAAACACCTCAATTCTCCTTCTGTTTCTATCAAATTCAGAATACCTATGCAATTTATTGTGTATCCCCCCCCCCCCCTTTCTTTCTTTAGTCAAAGAAAATGTTGTATACTGCTCAGCGGCAGCAGCAGAAACCAACCTTTCTCCAGTGACCATAGCAGTGGCAAAAGCTGTGTTTATAATTATGTTGTGTGGAAGGCTAGTGGCCTTACTCACTTGTTAGATGAAGTGATAAAAACCAACATGATGGACTAAAGCATTTTTGCTTTTCTTAGTATTGTCCTTTTACCCTCTCATTCTCTGTCTGATGAAAAACTGCACTTGGTGTTCCTCAGAGCTCAGCAGATTTAGAGGAAACAATTACCAGTCCGGTGATCTCTGCTTCTCCAGTCCCGCCGATAAACACCCAGCGCCCTGAGGTATGGTCTGAAAATGATACAGTTTTAAACGGGTTAAATTTCATTGTTTCCTCCACCCCCCCCCCCCCTCCTCTCTCATTCCCCCCCTTCTCTCCCTCTGAGGTTTTATTTCACAAAAGTGTGAACACATTTTTTTGTCGATGGGGGCAAAAAAAAGAGAGAAACAATAAAGAATATGAAAGGCCCATCTTCACAGAACATTAGACATCGCAAAACAACCCAAAGCCATGATCGGATATATCAAAACTGACAAGTAAAAGTTGATTGCTGAGTGTCTATTGATTGAGCTATATTTCACCGGGAGAGCCCGGCCTCACAGTTGTCTTCACAGTGCACCAAACCCTGCAAAGCCACATTTAATTGAGATGGTCAGCGTAAATACACAGAAATAGTCAGTATGCTTTTGGTAACTTTTATTATTATGTACACAAAGGTAGATGTTTTATTGCTCAAAATGACAATACCATCATGTATCTATCCATGCAGCATACAGTATATGTAAATACACAAGCATTTGACCAGTTCTCTGAAGGTTGGCCATATTTTGTGAAATATTAAATATGATTTTTTTTAACTTATTAGGTTATTATTAGGTTATTAACTATTGTATTGTAGTGTTGAAAGTGTAGGATATCCTACTGGATCTATACCTATATATGTACACACTCAGTTACCAGTTTATTAAATACACCTTGTTAAAACTAATCATCATAAAGGTTATCATGTTCAACTGTTTTAGGTGTTGGTACAACTGTATGATCAGGCTGCAGTTTGTGGAGCTGTTGAACTGTATGGCGTTATACTGACAGGTATTTCTATTGTTTTGTCCAACCTTTTTACATCAATGTTGCTAGCGGTAGATCATTCGATTTCAGATAATATTGTTGATATGTTGATATTTTTTGTCTGGTCTCGATATGAAGCCATTTTGTTATTTCACAGACACAAGTGATTACATCTCAGGGGCCAGCGCAACATACGTCATATTTCTTAGATTTAGATGAGAAGATCAATACCACTCTCATGTCTGTACGGTAAGCTGCCACCAGCAGCCAGTTAGCTTAGCTTAGCAGGAAGACTGGAAACAGGTGGAAGCAGTTGGCGTGGCTCTGTCTGTTAGTAACTAAATCCACCTACTAGTGCCTCTAAAGCTAACTAATGTAAAAAGACAAATTGTGCCTGCTGCCATGAGCTTATTTAGTGTACAAACATGACAGCGGTATCATATAACTCTTGGCAAGGCAGCAAACAAGCGTATTTCCCAAAATGTCTTACTATTACATTACTGTTTGATAAGGGACAAGGTTCAAGTTGTCAGAATTTGCTCACAGTTTGGTAATAAAAATACAAACTTTAAATAGCAAAAAAAAAAAAAAAACTGCAAACCTCTAAGAATTTAGTAAGATAGCCTATTAGTTTTTAAATTCAGACACATAATGAAGGCCAGATTGAAGCTGCTATTAGTGGTGAAGGGTTTAAAGGTGATTTATGGGAGGTAAAAGTAGAGTCAGGTCATGAGAAAGGTGAGACAGTTGGAAGATGAGAACAGAGTCAAATGCATCTTCTGTATGGTTTCCAAATTCTATTTGACCATGTGACATTTAGTTATGACGAGTGCGCGCAGTCCTATGATCATCTGTAATCTGTGTCTTTACCCCCCGACACACACACACACACACACACACACACACACAAGTAAAAGAAAGAGACAGGGAGCAGAAGGGGATGAAAAATAGGAGAGATGCTGACAGGGAGTGAAACACTTGAGCTGTAGAGAAGGCCAAGTGTACCGAACACAGCACAGCCCAGGAGTGATTGAATGATCCCATTCTGGGCTCTTTGTTAGACACTAGGCAGCGATGTATGAAGATTGATACACAAGTGCTCGACTCGGTTTGCTGGATCATCAAACGGATTGATATTATACTCCAGCCAAGGATGAAGACAAAGTAAGTGTTATCATACTCAATACTAGGGCTTGTCAGAGGCGGGAAATCATCCAGTGTCACTGGTTATGGGAGCATTTCGCAGACTGTCATGAGAATTTATCTGGGAGACGTGGCGCTCTATGGCAGTCTGCAGCTGACGGCGGAGGCCCCGGCTGTACCGTAAAGATCTTAGCTAAAGATTGAATTACAGCACCGTGCTCTGGACTACATTTATTTCACTACTATCATGTTTGTCCCCACAGACACTGTAAATCCCCTCTCTTCTTATCAAGTGGCCATTTATTGTCGTTCAAATAACATTATTCATGGTGATATCATTATTTAGATAACATACGCATTACAGCAAATGATTTGTTTATCTGTTGTACAACAAGGGCTTCCTACATTACCCCTGAGGTTTCCGCAGTCTCCTCATTACTCCTGAGTCCTGGGAGCAGTCAGTGCAAAGTGAAGGTAATAATAGATAGCTGTTCGGTGGTTCTACTGAGGGTGCTGCATGGAGCTTTTTAACAACATGAAATGATTACCGTGTTAAACATGCACCATAATGGCCACTGAACTGACTTTCATACATATAGATTTGGTTTGGAATTGGCTGAATTTCTGACTGACTTTCTGCTTTCTTTTCTGGGATTCTTGTAATTACAGGTTTTGGAATTAGTGACAGACATGTTGAAAGTGAGAAATAACTTCAAACATGTTCCTTTTTCCAATAAACCAAAGGAAAAAGCAGAAAAGCTTTGCGAAAGGGAAGCAAATTCGGTTTCAATTTGAGAAACAAGACAACAGGTATGACATGGAGGTCTCATTGCTTTCATTTCACAGGTTTTGTTCATGTACCTAGCATCTTTTAAACTACTGTAACTATTCTGATTCTGACTGTCCCTTCACTTCCACGTCGTTTCCCCTACTGTCTATAGATTGCTACAATGGGAGAATTAGAGAAAGTTCTGTTTATAACCATGAAAAGCAAGCAGGTGAAGAAACCAGTGATGTGTTCTCTCTGTCTATTGATCTCCTCCGCTCCGCTTCAGTACTATGGACAGCGCGGCCGATAGTAACATGTACATCGGCCAGTCATTTTGTTGTTTTATTTTTCTTTAGAGACATAAAGCTTTAAACAAACAGAGGGGGCAAAAAATACAACTGCGGGGGCTCAGCCTCCTTTAGCCCCCTTGTGGCGCCGGGGCCCCCTTTTGTTTAAATGTAATGTTCTAGCATAGTAGTTGTACTATCAAGTGTACTTATTTGTTTTTTGAGTGTTGTGTATTCAAAAGGCCCATAAAAACATGTTGTGGTATGTGGCATTGGTCCATGCTTGCACCTGCTGAGATACCTGCCTGGTAAATATAATGTGGTGTGGCAATGAATGGGAATACTATCAAAAGCACAGCATGGGACAGTTATAAAAGTGTAGTATTTGAGTAAATGTTTTATTTTGTCAGTTATTTTATTTGCAACATTTCAAACTATCTTATGTCTTGTTGATATATAAAGTCACAAGTTGCATTAATTGACTTCCACTAAAATCAAAAACAAATATATTTTTTGTCTCTAACATTCTCACTAAAAGCACTGTAATTTGTAATGTGGTTCTCTCAGGTACTCTGCTATGTGCTGTTCACTATTTGAGCTAATAATTCTAGTCTACCCATGCTGCTGCCAGCTTCCTGATGCTGTTTTCTTAAGAATTAGAGACACAGGGCAATATAAGTATGTGCTCCTCTCCGTGGAGTGGTTTTATGCACACTGTAAAGCTGTCATTTATGTCTGTGCATACAGTGCCCTCACCATGTCGCCAGGCTCTGTAAAAAGCCATGTATGGGAAACACTTCAGGCCATGGCACTTATGGATATTTCTCTTTACATTCATCATTTTTACATGTACTCACTGGGAGCCGAGGCCTGTCAAAAAGACTTACTGCTTTTCATCTTCATATTGAAATACCAGAGGAAGCTGTTGTCTTGCTCCTTGTATTATATCATTTCTATTGTAATCATATAAAGTTACACTACAGTTATCCCATCCATGCACAAAGGCAAGCACACACACTCTCACACACCTAGTCCATGTGGGATGCTTGAGCCGAGAGGTGCTTGCTATGATTTGGCCTTGTTAAGCTGTTGACCCTGAAGAGAGAGAATTACCTCTGTTGGGAAGCAGGAGGTGCACGTGTGTGCGTGTCTGTGTGTGTGTGTGTGTGTGTGTGTGTGTGTGTGTGTGTGTGTGTGTGTGTGTGTGTGTGTGTGTGTGTGTGTGTGTGGGTGTGGGTGTGTGTGTGTGGGTGTGTGTGTACTATATACGAATGTCTGGTGGTGATGGGAGCAGGAGGGGGGTGTACTAGCTTTGAGTTAAGGGCTCTATCAAGGGACAAACTTCTCCGGCACCACAAAGCCACATGATCCATCTCCCTTTTTAGCTCGTGTCAGGACCATTTTATGTGATGATGATTTGATGCTCGGGCACTGGGCCTCCTTCTCCCCCTCTCAGATTGAGCTATGATAGTCAGAGCTGGGATCGCTGGGATCACTGAGCTGTTGGGCTCCAGCCATCAGAAAACGGCAATGTGTCCCTCAGCTGCGGGGGGGGGTACACTGACAAATCCTCGTCCTACTGGATTCACAAATCCCACTGGGCTTCACAAATCACACCTAGAGGGTCTTATCTTAAGTGCCTAGAATTAGACTATAATTAGGGCGGTTCGAAAATATTGAAAAACAGATTTACACATTGTTGGTTTTGGTCTTTTCATTGGATTTGTTGAAATAGGCCTTTTTTTCACAGAAGATGTTTTAGATATTTCACCGTAGGAAAAGCACAGGTGTAATTAATAAAATAAAAATTCCATTTAGCTGCTTTGGTTTCAGGCTCCTGGTATTATTCATGCTGGCTCACTGTCACACTGTCATGTCTTACTGGGACACTTGAATGAAACAGAGCCATCATTCATGTTATTAGTACCACCTGTGCTTTTAGTGCAACTGTATGAAAATCAGAATTTCTGCTGTGATAAAGGCCCAGCACACCCACACAGATCTCTTCAATTACACTAGCTGATTGGACCTCTACTCAGGTGTAAGTTGGGCTGGAGCTATGCTGGGAATTACTTGATGTCTGAATTCTGTGTGGGCATTTTTTCACGATGTACTGCACTCAAAAATTCCCACTTTGGAACAAAAAAAGTAGTGTCCATGCCATGTACATTGCACTACTTTCTGCTAACAGTCCCACAATGCAATGCGTCATATTTTGTTGTGTGAAAATTATAGTTTTGCTTCTCCACAAACCAGTGGTTCCTACAGTTTTTAAGTCAATTTTTTTGTCATGGCACCACCAGCCACCCAACCCCCAATACAACAGGTACAGTTGTCACAGTTGACAGTGTCTGCACAGTTTTTACTAGTGTATGTTTTATGTAATGTTATTATTATTATTATTTTTATGTATATAATTATATCACAAAAATATTAAGTTAAATAATACAAGCATATGCACAGAATAAAAAGCCAATAGGTGCTCTGCAGATTTAGAGATAAATATTTAAAGGACCAGTGTGTAGCATGTAGTTGCAGATTGCAACTCCCTCACTTCACCCTCCCCTTCCAAGTGTGTAGGAGAAACTATGGTGGTTGTGAAGCACACAGAAAACCCACCCTGTCTAGAGTCAGGTTCTTGTCTTGTTTTCTCTGTATACCAGAGATGAGGAAGACAGACCACACATATAAGATGTTTGGAACACACAACTGCATAGTGCGCTAGTGGACAATGATTCCACAGCACACACTTTTGGAACCACTGGAGAAAACAGTGTGTAATGTACAAGGGATGGCGAATGAGTGAATCAGGGAGGGAGACTAGCTACTAAAAGAATGATAATGGTGTATGTTGTCCTGCCATGACAGGTGCAACGAAAACAAACGTCACATGTCAGTCAACCACGGTACATGCCAATGCAGTCCTGAGAAAAGTCTAACTATGCCAGGCTCATACTATAGGAGTTTGGATCCGATTTATGTCACATCCTGACAATTGGAGAAATCCATGCTCGGCATATGTTCTATCTGGTAATGTGAGGGACATGCTTGCAGACTCACTAGGGCTGCCCTGATCACTTTTTTAAATAAGATGTTTGATATTTTAAACATGGGGGGGGGGGGTTCAGTCAATGTAAATACAGCAAGTTGTTCTGCTATGTCATTCTCCATTTTGTTTACATCTGCTGCCCCATTAGATCACGTGAGGTGGTGCATTGCTTCCTCTGGCACAATTATCTTAATAATATCCTGTAGTGTGTGATCCGCAAAGTTGTGTGTGCATGTTTTAGATTAGAAAGAAGAAAATCTTTGAGTTTTCTCCTTATGTGTGAGATGCAACCCGAATTCAAATGTGATTTTGAAACATTAAGTGTTAGGTGACATCAGTAAAAACTCCTGCCTTGTCAAAAAGTGATCAGTTTGAAATAACAAAGACCGTACTTCATAGTTATATAAATGTGTGTAAATTGAGTTTAAACAAATCATATATTCACTGTTAAACACATGTGGTAAGTGAGGGTAATGGTAGGAAAAGTGTCATATAATTGCCTCATATTACTCAGGATAATTCACACCTTGCCTATCTATCAGCAGTTTTCATTGGAACTACTTTTTTTCTCTCTTTTTTTTTTTTTTTTTTAACCAAAGGGATAGTGAGCTGTTTAGATGAACTAATTTGGGTAAACTGATCCTTTATGTCCTGTAGCTTTCCCCTAATGCACATCCATAGCAGTACCACCTATGCTTTAAGTGCTGGTAATAAACAAAACCCTTTAACACATTGCTATTATGATCATACATGTTGTAAATCTACAGTATTGTCCAATTACACGCAGCTTTTAAACAGTGTCAGTTTGTTGTGTTTGTGATAGGCTGTGTAATAGTGTAATAACTCTGTCCCCTGTAAGACGGCCAGGGAGGCTGTGTTTAAATGAGACGGTTCTGCTACATTAGCTTCATAACACCATAATCCTTTCTCCATAAACCATTACATGCGCCGCAACATTTCTGATTTATGGGGGGTAGAGAATCAATGGGAAAAAATTAATGCTCGCAAAACGTCCCTGGGACAATATTGAGCAGATTTTAATTGTGATTTCATTCAAGTGGCTGTTAGCCAGATGATGAATGGGAGCTAACCTTCCTCTCTGCCGAGCGCTGGAGAGAGTCTTTAATATGACAATTAAGTGTCTGTCCTTTAGATTTTATTGTATCTTTCTTTCTCTATCTTGTGAGCGACTCTGTCCCCCCTCCTCGTCTTTTTACCTCCCACCCATTCTCCTTTTCCTCTCTCTATCTCTCTCTCTTCACATCACTTCATCTGTACAGTGCAGCCTTTGCGCAGATTAAATTGAGACTCCAGTTTTCTCCATCTCAGAGCACTTACTTATGTTTTATGACACGCACTAAGTCAATTTTATGTTGTTATTGATTTTTTTCTCCCCTCTTCTTATTACCCTCTTGCTTAAATCGACACAAACCATTTTGCCTTTTGCTCACTGATTCTTCCCACTCTTGTCTTGTGGTGACCTTAAGTGTATGACCAAGACAGAGAAAACCTTCTATGTGGGGGATGAGATGTGCGTGTGTTTGAGTTGAAGCTTAAAAAGTGTGGTTCCCTCAGAGGAAAAAATCTGTGCAGAGACTGATGTAAAATGAAAAGGTATGACCAGAAGGTGGCAGGTTAAACTTGGAAGTGCCACTATTCAAAACTCCTTTTTAAGCATTCAAAACTTTTTTCATGTGCAACATTAAAAAAGGTAGTAAAACACAGATTTTGTTTAGCTGCCGTACACCTCATAGGGCACAGTGTTGGCTCCAAATACTTTCATGGAAAATAATTGTCTTCACAAGTTGTTTTCATTAGGTTGTTCAAGTAAAATAAAACATGGTTTGGACAGATTTTTAATTTCACCTTCATCATTAAGAGTGACAATGCTTCTGGCAAAATCTAAGTGGTTTTATTTTATTTATTCTCTAGTATAGTATCTCTGCAAACTGAGCCCCAAGTACTGAAGGCCAACATTTTCAATGATTGTGTGAAGCATTACAGGATTTAACTGAATAGAACTGAACAAAACTGAATAAAAATAAGTGTAGTAAATGTTTTTTTATTGGGGAACTTGTTTTTACCAGTAACTCTATTTACACTTCCTTTCCAGTTTACTTATGCATTGCTCCAAGCAGAACTAACTGGTAAGAGCGGGGGGTTAAATGCAATAAGAGCTGGCTTGATCTCAATCAATTTGTCCCTGTCTGCTGGCAGGTGCCCAGGCTTTGCTGTGTCCCAGTCCCCAGTGTTGGCTCCATCAGGACTCCCAGCAAAGAGCTAAGCAGCAGCATCAATGTGACCATTTAGAGTGTGATCTGTGCAGATGCAGTGGGAAGGTCAGGCCATTGTGCCGCCCTCCTCCCCCTTGCCTTTCACTTCACCCTCTAGGACGCCGTCCACATCAAAGTTGTTATTGAGGCCCCTCAATCGGAAATCCCGGTTTGGCAGGGAAGTGAGGTCTTTAAGAAAAGAATGAGGGCCTTGACCCAACATGGGCGACTAAATCAGCCCGCCGACAGCCAAGAGGAAGATTAATACTCATAGGGCTTCTTTACACCTGGTGTTAACAAGCATCTCATATCTGGACTGAGTCTAGATTGTGTTTACACCTGACCTTCAAATGCATTTCCAGTAGAATCTAATGTTTGCTTTTGTTTTTCATGCATACGTTCAGTTTTGACTAATGTGTTATTATTCATTTTCCTGACACCTCTTTGAGGTGTTTTCCGTAATTGGTTCTGTACATAACTGTTTATGATGATTTACAACAATAACCCTTTTTAATAACTATGTTGTGTTTGGGGACTTTAGGCCCACCTAACATTGTTTTATCATCTTGATATCGAAAGGGTTAGGTTGCGTTCTGCAAGGTAAAATGTCTTTGTGATAGAGGCCTGGTGGCTTTGACAAGAGCAATAGAATCGCTTCAGTTCCCGGTCGGAAAGGGCTGTCAGATGGCGAAGAAAAGCAGTGCTTTTGTTGCTGCCCACATCCACCGCAGTACATTGCGTAGCTTCCTAGTTGGTACTCCTGTCTACTTCTCCAAACTGGGGGCATGCTGACCACTATACACTATGGATAAGTATCTCATACACTCCACTTCAAGAAATTTCAAACAAACCCTTTAATAACTTTTCCTCATTTTAGGACAATTGTTTACAAACACAAAATGGTGTAAAACATGGTTAAATATGATATGTGATTGGTGTTGACAGTACTGTTTATACAGAGCTACCCAAGTCTTTTTGGACTTTTTTTTGTTAATTTGCTTTCCTGAACATCTGGAATATGCGCAGAAAACCCTGTTCCAACTAAAAAGCATATTTATTCATGCATAATCCATATTACATAAAACATGAAATATCTTTTTATTTGGTATAATAGCAACACTTTCCTTTATGTTTCTTCACGTTCATCAAGCCCAGTTTGTAGCAAAAGGAATAGTTACCACTTTATTGCCTTTCTACTTATTGGATTCTAATGAGGTCAGAAAACAAACAAACAACACAAACACAACTAGATTTAGCAATTATTGTTATCATTGTGACACAACAGCAGTGGAGTCTGTGAGACAAAACACAAAGGCTGAAACTTTTATTCAGACTGTTGTTAGAACAAATGAAAGAGTAGAAAAATACATAAAATCTTACAGAGTTTAAAAGCCTTCTAATGCAAAAATACTCAAAGCAGCAGCATAATAAAAAATGGTAATAACATGTTTCTGAAATAGAAAATAAATAATTAAAAACACTTACTTCAACAACTTGTATTAAAAGCTAAGTAAATGTGTAAAGTAACAAACTCTTTGAAGTGTTTTCCCACAACCTTGGAAGGTAATATGGTGTCTTGTGTGTATTTACAGCTAGACTTGACGCACTTTCTCTTTGTCTGATTATAGTCCCATCAGCAAAGACAAGTTTAAGGACGCCATGTTTTCCAGTTCACCATCTGAAAGAGAAGAGGACAGTACTTCATCTCTGTCTTCACCAGTAGTTAGGGAAGAGAGAGGAGGAAGAAATGGAGGCAGATTGAGGAGAAGGAGTTGCAGACAGTGGCATATATGAGTTCTGTTCTCTTCCTCTCTCCCTCTGTTTCAGCTCATGTGGAAAAGCTTTTCAAATTATGATGTGGATTGACGTGCAGCAGCTGTCCCCTCTCCTGGGTCCTGTCCGTCACCTCACCGGTCACCGCTGACAGCACTATGATGGATTAGGAATTGTCATCCAGGACGCTTGTCACTTGTTTACAAGTCGGCCATCCCTCATCTCTCACCACAGGCCTTATAATCTGGCCGACACTCCTCCAACCCCCCCCGCGTGCTGCCAGACACGCTATACAAGACAACACCATACATTACAAGAGCTTTTTTTTCCCTTTCCCCCTAACCTTTCTCTCTCTCTCCCTCCTGCATCCCTGGGCTGAACACAGTCAACACATTTAATGCATTAATATATGTGTTGTGTTCGCCAATCTCCCAGGGACTGGGGCGATGTCTTCTCCTGTCAACCTCTACCCCTGAGAACTGACTGGGTTTTAGACAAACATCCCAGTGGGAGAGGAAGGGAGGCTCAGATCTAACCTGCATTCTGTTATTTGAACAATGGGGCTTTTAAATCTGCTGGCCAAAAATATGGACGATAAATTCTCTGTCACTACATGACTACTTTAGCGCTGTGATGGAAAATAAAAATCGGTGTAATCTATAACCTCTAGTTGGTTATAATGAGGTAATTATATATGCAGACATAGCATTGATTTCTTGAAAATACTATTCTAAGGTGGTTTTACCTTTTTCTGCTCCTACTAAATTGGTGCTAAAGCGTTTCTTTTTAAACTTTATTGAATTGATTGAAATGTATTTATTAGATGACAAAAAATATTATTCCCAGCTTTTCATATGTAAACAGTTTTTGATTTTAAATTGAGTATCTTTTGATTTGGGACTATTTATTTGACAAAATAGATGTGTAAATGTAACCTTGCGCTCTAGCAACTTTATTCAGTTTTTAGACATTTCTCTGCCAAATGGTTCTTTAAAATGACAGATTGTAAGAATTAAAAAAAAGGCTTCACTTTGTGAACAAACAGGAACTTTTTACTCACTTAACTTTTTGTCGTGCACATTGATTTGGACTGGTTTTCACAGTTTGAAACAAAGACAGTCAAATCAAGCTCAAGACCATTTTCCGAAAGCTTTCAGACCCAATGATGTAGAGCTCACATGCCTCTCAGAAATATTAAGGAAGAAAGCCCCGCAGAGCGGACTCTGATCTCTCTCTACAGCATCTCTCGCTCTGTGGCCTGCTGTGGGAATGTGTGAGTTTATGCTCCCTCTGCAGGCATAGTCCAAACTGGAAGACGAGCTAACCAGCCTGCCTGTCTAGCTTGGACTCAGCCCTGCCAGCTGTGATCCTGCAGAGAGGATGAGTGGATGCCATCTACCCTGCACTGCTGAGACCCTCCCTGTGCTCCCAGTATGGCCCTTGAGAGAGACCATAATCTTCTCCTATCTGCCTTAATGGTTCCCTCTGTGGATGCCGAGATGGCAGGCCTGGGAGTGGGGGCGGCACGCTGAATCCTACCATGAGCATATTGTCATTAAATTAAAAATTTCCAAACACTCCCTTGCTCGTGGCATAACCGCCGCCGTGAGAGCGATCATAATTGGCTCTGAAAACATGCATAATTGCCTTCAGCTGGCGTTCTTTTACAGTTGACATTGTTGAGGCAGCGGCGGGGCGATTGCTGAATTGAATATGCAGCTTGTTTCACAATGGCAGTCGTAATTGAAATATGGTATGTGTGAGTGGAAGATTACATTAAAGCTCCTAGATAATCACCTGACAGGGGAGTCATTGAATCGACAATCTGCCGTGGAGTTTCGGGGAGCGGGCCAGAGTGAACAGGCCGAGGGAGGAAGGGGAGGGAGGAGGGCCAGAGGGGTGGGGGTAAAGGAAGGCATCAGGCAGAATTAGAAGGGGGAAAAAAAAAAGCTCTTGGCTGGCTCACTTATTCAGAGCCGTCCTGGATTGCCAGACTGGCATTCCTGGGCTCTTTCTATCACCACATTTCTCCCGCTCACTCCCACCCTCCCTATTCTCTCTTAGATGCTCACCCCTCCACTTCTTTGAGTAGACCACTTCCCCTTTAAGAGCTAACAGATGGCTATCCATTGCTGCTGCGTTTTATCCTCATTTGCATTCATATTTTTATTGCTTTTTTTCCACAGTGGCAAAACGGCACCTTTCTAGTCAACACTGGCACACAAGACTGCTTACAATCGGTTGAAATAGATGTCAAATATCAAAACAGAGATTGTTTACTGTTGACCTGTAAGGCATCTTTTTGGAGAGAGGAAGTAGGTGGTTGTAACACCCAATGATTCAACTGGCATATTAATGTTTTGATCTCTCTGAAACCTTCTCACACCACTTTTTGCGACGGTCCTTTCACTTCCTCAGCCTAATAGACAGCAGGAAGGGAAGTGTTATTTCACAACACATGATAGGAACTTTACTAGAAAATTGATAGAAAAGGCACAAAAGAAAAAGAAAAGATGCTCACATTCATCCTCTCCTCCACCATGCATGCTGCAGACCGGCAGTGCTGTTGTTGTTGCTGAGGTAAAAGACCTTGCAGGTGCCTCCTCTCTTTAATCTACTTCTCCCCTCACCATTATCTTATATTTGGGTATAAACACACAGACTGTGCAACCCGATAATATGCAATTAAAAACAAAGATCATTAAAAAGTTATTGGTGTCTGCCTAATTACTATAACTTTACCCCCCTTATAATGAGCGTGCATGGGTATTGATTCGAAGCAAATCTCCCTTTCCTCCTGGAAAAAAGCAGGTAGTTACTTTGTGTTAAATCATTAATATAGTAATGATTTTTCCAGAACACTCTCAATTAAGACCAGAGCAGAAAATGACCCAGGGGAGTTAAAGCTCACGCTCTTAAAAGTGTGATGTTCCAAATATATCCTAGCTTCTCTCACCAGAGAATATGGATAGGCCCAGGTACGTGTCTCTGAATCATTTAAAGCGGAGCTTGTTGATTAGGATGTGTGTAAATGTGTTTCTGTGTTAAAGGTCTGCACCTTTAATGTAATACAGTATGTACTAATACACTGCACTGCATTTGGGTGAATACAAAGTGATGTAATGGTGCGGTTTGACCTCCAGGTGATAAAGAAAAGGTCTGCCAGGAAGAAAAATGGATGAAAAACATTCATATTAAAAAGAAAGCCAGACACTTTCATTAATACAGTTGTAAATAAACTACAGTGTATACAATGACCTTAACAAAAGGTTAAACAATCATCAATGAACCGAAAGAGAAACATGTGATTAGCATTTTATTTCCTTGCCAAACCCTCTCTTCCTATAACTTCCATTAGCTTGATGATGCTACCATGATCTACACCACATACTGAATTCACTGTGTGGAATAAACATTAGTGTCAACCAAAATAAGGTCAGTTAATTATATTCTGCAAATAAAAAGACTAAAGGTATGATCAGAGGGAAGTGAAGTTGAATGCTGCTTTGTTGATTAATCCCCAACAGCCAATGTAAGTATGTATGTCTTTCACATAGGGAGGAGGATACAGTCACAGTTGAAAATATGAAAGACTTCCTGTGCCTGTCATGGTTTTCAGGTTTGCATTCGTCAACTTGTTTCCCTTTGTAATTCAAATCCTGACACTCTGTGATCTCTGAACCTCCACCAGCACCCATCTGAGCCCCTCCCCCTCTCAATTCTCCCCCCAAATCGCTCCAACAATTACGTCATTTGTCCGTCTATTATCTCAACACCTGCAAGAAAATCTGTCTCAATTTTCCCCTCTGCTTCTGATCTGGTCTCCCTCCCATCTTCCTCTGCGGCCCCACTGAGACGCGCGTTCGGCCTCAAGCAGCTTCTGTCTCTGTCAGGAGGCTCCTGGTCGCTGCCATCCCACCATGCATTGTGCCTATGCCAAGAGACTGTGCCAGCTCACACCCCTTTAGCACCGAATACTTGTCTTGACCCAGCCTTTTCTTTTCTTTTACGCTCTTTTGTGGCCCCTGTGCCAAACACACACAGGGCTCAAGTAGGGATATACAAAAAACATCTCTCTTGCCTTCCTTTCATTCAGACCCATAATATTCACTTAGTGAGGACCAGGAGGGGTTCGAACAAAGAGATCTTTGGGGTTGGGCAGTGATTCGTTATAGTCTCTATAACCACAGTTTACAGCAACTTTCTTTTGAAACGCTTGACATTTTACTTCCTATTCCTTAGATATAGTCAGTGGGTACAGTGCGTCATCTTTGTTTGACTTTATCACACATAAAGAGCCGTTTTCACTCAGTTTAATGTCATCGCCTAGGTAACCAGCAGCTTTTTGGCAACAACGCTGAAACGGCCAATTTGTCAATGGAATGTGTGAAGTGTCAATATGAATCTATCTAACCCCTCTGGCCCCCTTTCAGGAGATAATTTTTCATATGCATATGAGAATTTTTGGTGCATTACTTTCTCACACTTTTTTTTAAATTTATTTTTTTACATCCAGTGACAGATTAGAAAGAGGCTCCAGCTCAGGGGTCCAGAGGAGTGAGGAGGGGTGAAAGGGAGAGAGGTGAGGGCAGAGAGCAGGTTTTGTGGGAGTAAGCAGTGGAGGGCCGATTCAGATTTATGAAGAAATTTGAGCTCCATTCTTACAATAGGCACTCAAACCCTCTAGGGGTGTTGTTCCCGGTTACTCCAGGGATTTCTCACTGGATCTGAGTGAGATCTGAAATGAGTAATGCTTAACTGTTTCACCAAAATATAATCCTTAAAATGTCAGACCTAGTTGATTTGGTGACACGTGTGGTTAGTGGTGGTAACAAAAAGTGTGGTTTAATACTACAAGTCTCCTTGAACAGCTTCTTTGTCAGGAATACAACAGAAGAGCAACCGGTGTATCGGTATACAGCGTAGTGAAAACAAGCTAGGAGGAAATATTCTGTTTGCAAAAGAAGTAACGTAATGCAGTTGTGATATGGTGTTAGGAGAGTAAGGCTAATAGCAATGAGATAAAATTACAAACAGTGACATTGAATTACACACATGAATTGTTTCCTGTGAATTCCCTTGTTTGTAGGTAAACAACTTGAATCCCACAAGGGAATGGCAGACTCCGCCACTTACAATGAAAGCTAGTATACTTGTTTGTCTATGCACTCTAGAACGACAGCATATTCTGATATTGACAGGACGAGATCATATTTCTGTGCCTTCCAAAACTATAAATCTGTTCTATGATGAGGCAAGGCTATGGTTAAGGGTTGTTGGGTTGGTTAAGGTATAGGAACAAAAACAGCTTCGATAGGTTCAGGGACAGGTAATCTTTTTGGGGGTTAACTTTGTTAAAGTTAAGGAAGCGTTGGGGTTAGGGTTAGGTAAGTCTGATGTTTTGCTGGAAGCCAGACCCATTCCCTGCGCAGACTTTGTCGCTGTTTAACGTTATCTGACTTCCTTTTTTGCTTCCAAAGCCCACAGCCACTAGTGGACTTTGTCACTTAACCGTCAACATATTTAGAGGAAATGTAACGGAACAGAACACATCATGGTTTGAGTTCATGAAACCTTTTAGAAAATGAAAATGAGAAATAAAAAACTTAAAAGACTAAACATAAGGATAAATCGCGGGCAGTAAAAATCCTAACCAAACCAACAACAACAGGTCTTCACACTGCTGGGGGTATCAAATGGGGATCTATGACCTGTAATGATTTTTTACTTGAGCGTCCGTGACATGAAAATGTTTGAGCTCTCCTGCTGTACATACTTGCGATAGCTCAAGAGAAGTGTGTCACAGCATGGCATTTATGTTCATGTGACATTATCAAAATGCTCATATGACAGCACACCAATTATGAATCTTGAAGAGACGACACCGGAAAACATTTTGCACTTCCACTCTCCCTGACATGACCTTTTACTATGATCCTGCGTTCCTCCGATGGACGTCCCCTCCTGTGCTGCCTCTCTTTCTCTCTCTCGCTTTCTCTTTTTTCTATTCATAGCCTCCATCCCAAGATAAATCCCACTGGGTGGATGTTTTTGTCGTGGAAGCTTGTGAATGTTTTTGCAGTGCTGGTGTTATTTATTGCCCGCTGACAGGGCCATGAATTCCGGGCCAAAGTGAAACTCATATTGTTATCAAAAGCATAAAATTCCTATCACTTTAGGTGTCAGAGCATAGACAAGAAAATGAAACAGGTACTCATAAAGGCAGCGAGTGTCATAAATCAGCTGGAGGGGCCTGAGCAAAGGAGACGCTTGATTAAATAAGGGGAATTAGGTATTTTTGCAAAAGCGGGAAATAACATTGATCTATGCCCCTGTCAGTGGTGAGGCTTGACACTATTGTGCATTGTTTATTTTTCTTGTGTATTTATAGTATGTCAGTCTTCCTCTGACTGAATGATATGAGTGAGAGAAAACCCCGCCTCCTTTGGTTACCATGTGCTCTGTTGCTGGAAAACTAGGGACACACTTATCCAGGAACTGAGTTTACCTTTTCTAGTTTCCTCAGCAATTGAAATGCCAACCATATCCTGTAGCTTTGTTTACCAGGACATATGTGAAATGAGCCAATAGCACTACTGTTTTTCCCACAGCGCCATAGGCATCAAGAGGCAATTTAAGGTCAGTCAGGGGTGAGACACTTCACTAGTTTATACCAGGGTGCAATCAAATTTCATTGCGTTTTACGGAAAATCACTTTCGGGAAATCATTTCTATTTTTCTACTGAGTCTCTGGTATCTGTTTAATAAGAAGAGGTCTTGTTGTTAGGAAAATGAAATAAATCTTCACACTTTACTGGAAAATTCTAACACAACAAACAATCCTTTACTTGTGTAGCCTGTTTCATTGTTGCCTTGTATCTCTACAGAATCTGCACCAGGAATTTGAGTTTGAAAAAAGTGCAAAAGTGCAACAAATAAGATTTAGTATGCACTTTGAAACCTATTTTACACCAGGTCTAGATGGAACTACGAAAGAGTGATGTCACTTGAGGCTAGCAGCTCAAGGCCACGTTTAGTCTAACACACCTGAATTGCTGATTGAACTGTTGGCAGATGAGTTGCATTGTGGGAAATGACGTCACCAGGTTTTGGCAAGGTAGAAGAGTAAAAAAAGCAATATCTCTGGTTTTGCTGCATTGATTTTGTGATTCTGACTATGTTATGGGTGTGCTCTGTGTACTCTTTTAAACATAAACAAAGAGCTTCATCATTACTTTAAAATATCCCTCCTACATGATTTCCTTGGGAAAGTCTGACAGCCAGTGAAATTCTGAAATATGACTTATTGTCAATGACACATCTCTCTAAAAGCAAGTGTTGCTAAGCACATCTCTTTTCCAGGTTGTTCTCCCTACATGTATAATTTTAGTAACGTCCCCCACTATGATTTGGAGGTGTCTGCATGGCTGATGGGATCAGTGAACTCTGGAGAGTGGGGTGACGACCTTCCACCCCATCCATCACCCAATGATGGACATGGGAAGCCGGCCCCTGACAGGTTGGGGGGGTGGGCTGGGGTGGAGGGTACAAATGGGGTTAAGGATAGGGCTGGAGAGGGATCGCAGTTACCACAGTATAGTGGCTGGGAAAACAAGGGAGGGGGTAGGTGGATGGAGAAAAGTGTGGCCAGGATTGAGGTCAGGGATATATGATTGGGGTATTAACTGGACCACAGCTAGCCTGGTTAAATGTTTGTGTGGGGGGCAAAGATGGATTATCTGACTGTTTTTGCATGTCTTATGTGTGACAAACAAAAGTGCATTACGTCATTTTTCCTTGAATCTTTCCTTCTTCAGTTTTTTTTACAGTACAGGACACGAAACCAGTTCTCCAGCTGACATTTGTGAAAGAGCAAACCAGACCAATACAAATGATGAATCTGGTAATCAGGAGCAGTGTCACTCCATTCTCCAAATCTTGCTGAGGTGTAATGAGTCTCTGAGGGCCACTTGTTTCTTACTCCCACTGAAAGAAGGACCAACGTCATCAATCTTCAGAGTGGCTGAAGTGAAGTTGACTTCTGTCTGAAGGTTCTCCCCTTTGTTGATTTCTTCTTGGGAGCTCAGTGGAAAGCCCACGTTCCCGTCACACGCCGAGAAAGCGTGCACGAGAGAGAGAGAGAGAGAGAGAGAGAGAGAGAGAGAGAGAGAGAGAGAGAGAGAGAGAGCAGGGTGTGGTTGCATGCTGTGCCGACAATGAACAGCAAACCTCCAACTGACACGGCCAGTATTGAGTAAAACCACGCCGTGAAGTGAGGATGCACTGCACACGTTCACAAATGTTAGTGCAGAATGGGTTCAGTGACATTTGACCCGGTGATCCAAACGCCTGTCAACACCATATACTACCATCGTTTTGTGCATGACAGTGTGATCATATGTTTTCCTCTGTCTGACCTAAATGCAGTCATGTCTAGACACTTATTTCTGCTGCTGCATTTGTTATATTGTGCACCTCATGTCAAAAGTTTGCTTTTTGGGAAGTTAAACAAGACTCCTTCCCCTCTCCTGTCAGACAGTAGCTTCATGCTTGGCATAGTGAAACCAGGAACAGGCCTGGGGTGAGCTGCCCAGTTCACTCTCACTCATAAATCTGAGGTTTCACAGTTTATTCTTTCTACACTGGTTTTGATTTCATTTTTAAGCACAGTATTTTGGCGTTTTTCTATATGTGTTGTTTTTGCCAAAGCTAATGTCTTTGCATACCATGACACAAATAAGGAGGCTATCATGTCTTAAAGCCGAGATGAGATTAAATCTTATTCTGTAAATAAGGATAAGCTTTTGTTATAACCTAAAAAACAACAGGGATTGACACAGATATACCGTATATTATAATCTTCTGGAAGATTTGCTCTGATTGATCCTGTTGTTCCTGACTTTCTTCTTCTGTTCATCAAAATATTTGTGCAACCGACTACATATGCCTTTGTAATGTATAGCGGCGTGTGATCTGTTGCTACCAGTCCATGTTATCGGGTGAAACAACAAGCTGCCCTTGCTTGTCTTCTGCTGGCCAGGGCCTCAGTGGGATGGGCAGTTTGTGAAATGACAGGACATGCCAACAAATTGCATCACTTCTGCCTCTGTGGCTGAGGACAATGGGCCACCATATGCCGAAGTGGGGAAATGAATGGATCTCATTTGTGCTGGCACCCTGAGCCCCCGCTCCCCCCGACCCTGCTGGGGCCTCCGTGGCACCGAGGCCGACACAGACAGACGAGCCCACCCTCTGCCACGCCGCCGTGCTGCTGTCCACCACAGGATCCCGTAAGCCAATTCCAACAAACACATTATGTTGGATTTGGTGTATGGATATTTCATAAAAAAAGATAAATCAGTTGAGTTATTTTGATAACATTTCACTCAGTTGGGTTGAGATGACATGTTTCAAACAAAATTCGAAACACGCTGTAATTATTATTATTGCTGTTTTACTTTTTAGAACTTTGCCTATTTAGAAAAGAAAAAAATATATTAAATAACATGTTGCATCACTTATGTCTCATGTAAAATTGTTGATATACATACCTGTTTTTTTCATAGATGAATATATAGGACGCGTCTGTAAAAGTAGCTCACGTGCAAGTTTGTGTTTATCTGTGTTTTTATTTGTGTGTGTGTATGTGTGTGCGCAGGCCTCGGATGATAGCAGATGATTAAGGAGTGGCTGCTCTGTTGACATGAGATACTAATGAGGATGAAATGAGAAGGTCAGGGCTCGTCTCCACGAGGGGGACACCCCCCTCCTTCCACACCCCCACCCCCCTCCCCCCTTTTCTCCTTGTACCCCCTGGTTGCCTCCCTCCTCAGGATGGACGGCTAATCCTCCTCTTAATCGGCACAGGCCAGTACACACACTTGTATACACGAACACACAGACACAAACAGACACGTACACGCTGAGGCGCCTCTGATCAGGCACTCGGCATCTTCATAATGGAGGTAATTAGCAGCTCAACAAGGCTAGCTCAGCATTATGATTAGCACCTCTTTTTGAGCGCACTTTAAATCTGACCAGCGTGGCCTCTGCTGTCAATCTACTCTGCTCTATACTGCCAATAAAGCTGATATCAAATGTTTATTATAGAGCAGATTGATGCTATATAGGTGTCTCATAATATTCTTATTTAAAAAAAAGTTTTATTTTCGTCATTTACTTTATATTTTCTGTAAAAAAAAACAAAAGTCCAATTAGTGGCCACTGCTGACAGCCCAACTCAAAATATCTTCTTGTAAAACGCCCACAAGTCCAATACAAATACATGGTAATTTCCTATCAAAAGTATTGAGCATGTTGGATTATTTAGATATTGTCTTGGCTAAAACTTCAGTGGTTTGATCAGGCTTTTCACATAATGACCAAGGGCTTCATCATGATGTCATGAAACGGAGTAAACAATTTAACAAAATGACAACAAACTGCAACTCTTTGAAGTGTTCTTTTCTAATTTCAGGAAGATAATCAAGCAGCTGTCAGTCGTCACCAAAATAATCAATGACTTATGCAGCGATCGAGCAATGTAATGATAGGATATCCAGACAAAGGTAGGAGTGATGGCCATCCAGCGATGCAGCAAAGCGACCTGTGTGAGTGCAGTTATTAATGGAGGTGTGAGGGTGTCTATCAGCACAGTGAACTGTTGACCCTGACAAGGGGAAGGAAGTACTCGGCCAGCTGCATGCCATTTTTCATCTCTCTGATAGAACTCAAAAGAGAGCCATGGAGGGGGAGAGAGAGATGGGGGACAGGAGAGAGGAAGAGAGAGAGAGAGAGAGAGAGAGAGAAAAAAAAGGGGGCGTGTCTGATAATAAAAAGAAGTTTGCCCTGTGAAGTGTGGCGAAGTGTTGGATAGAGGCCTCCTAAGCCGTGACCCCTGTGATTTTAAAGAGCGTCTAGCTCACCTCGTTAATCAAAGGCTGATGCGTATCACAGTGACCCCCCAGCCCCCCCACACACCACCCAAAACCCCACCTCCAAGTCCTTATTGCACTTTGTCATTTTTCACAGGAGGTTCATGGGAAGATAATCCTCAGATCCTCAGGTCGCCACCCAGTTCAAGAGACAAAGTGTTGGGAAAGGTGTGTGATTGATTTCTCTGTGTGTGCTTGTGCAGAGGGGAGGATTGGGGTCAAGCTGGTGGTCCATGTAAAGATGAGGTTTTACAACACTTTCATGTGTATGACACATATGCTTAATGATGCATTATGTCAGCACTCATTAATAAGGACCTCGATTTTACACATCAGACTTTGTTTACAGGTCCTACTGCATATACAGAAATCCTATAAACAGCCTAAATGAGCAAGAGATATGATTTGTAATAAACAAGGAAATTGTCTGTAATTTCACTCTTGTGTGAATCTGCCATGTTTGTAATTTGTAATGTAAAGAGTCCTGCGTAAATCACCTACCACATTTTGGTGAAACAGAAGTTCTAATTATAGAACTCACGTGCAAATTGGAGTGCAGGAGTAATGTGTCTTTGGCATGCGATTTCCCGTACCTCCTGGGCATCTGATTTTTCTCTTCCTCCTGTAACAGAAAATGGAGCCGTTGTGGAATTTATAAAGAAAGGTTTTGAAATCATTTTCAGCGCAATCAGCAAGCTTTGCTTTTCTATAATCAGGAAGTGACAAGTTGTTGAATCTTCTGCAAAAAAAAAAAAGCCCAGATATATTTATAGATGATAAAAAAAGTTACTCAAGTTTGCATGCCAGCTTTCTGCAAATTAAACACAACCAACATATTCTCAAACTTCACAAACATGCCGAGTATTAAGTGTTGCCTCAATCCAGTGTGATTGCTCTGTTTGATCAAGAGCGAGAGAAAGAGAGAGTGGGAGAGAGAGAGAGGGAGAGGAAAAATGAGCCTGCCAGTGGTTAATTGAGCATACAGATTCCTAATGTGTCAGGCGGTGGCCTCGCAGATGAGGGATGGCACTTTTTTACGATGCATCTTCCTTTGTTTCCTCTTTAAGGCTAATGAAGTCGGCCTTCCAGTCGCCACCTGGGCCAGACACTCAGACACCAGAGACACTCTCACATCCCATTCACAAAGTCTAACAACGAGTCATCATCTTCAACACCCCCCCCACACACACACACACACACACACCACCCTCCACCTTCCACCCGCAGCCTGCCCAAAGACAAATACACACACACATGCAATGACACACAGAACCACAGGCTCGAATGCGGACATGCCTGTGCACACACTGTATATGAGAATGCACACACGTACACACACAAGCCGGGTTATTAGCTGGACGTTTGTGATAAACTCACACTCTGGGCTGATGTTTACAGCATATTCATTATCAAAGCCGCAGACCTGTTTATTTTTACTGTCTCAAAACAGCAAGCATCCATTATCCGAAGATTTTTTTTTTTGTCTCTCTGGCTTGTCTTTTTTTTCCTACATGCCTTTAGGTCACCCACTAATGAGCTTAACACTGAGGAAACGTGGAAGCGATTAGACGAGGCTTGGCTGTTTGAGCAACGGGGTGATGATATTGTACCTTATGATTACATGCATTTATATCAGGAGAAACAAGAGAAGAGGCAAGCTAGAAGGTCTGTAGTTTTCTGTAGTTGGGTGACTTCGCATTGGTTTTCCTGCGTGTGAGCAACTAGTGAATGATGAGCGCCGTGGTTGGCAGCCTCAGACTCGCTCCTTATCCTTGTTCTGCTTTAGCAAGGTGAGCCTAAACCTCCTTCAACGCCTCTGTCTCTTTTGCTGTGGCAGCTCAGGCCAAGTAGTTCTGGTCACCCAAACATGTTCAAGGTGCTCCATGGCCATATGTTTGCTCATTGGGGAGCGGAGCAGGGAAGGGCTGGATTCTATGACCTTCACCCAGGTTGAGCAATGAATACTCCAGGCTCCGCTCGCTTGGGTTCATGCCAGGTGAACATCCCAGACATGCAAACTCCAGCCCAGCAAGCATTTGACGGCTCCAGACACACAGAAGGGGGAGAAAGAGAATGGGTGGGAAATTGGAGAGAACCTAACAACTTCTGTGCTCTGTGGAGATCGAAATTGTCCAAACTAGTGTTCAATGGGTAGTAGAATTTTCTAAACACAGGGTCTCAACATACAGCATAAAAAGGTCTCCACATACAGCATAAAAATCAGATTTTGATCAGAAGAATTAAATAATTTTAGTCAGATTTTTTGGAAAACAACAAAAATACTGTTTCAGTTCTGGTGCCACTAACATCTACTACACAGTCTCAGCTACTGTTTCTCACTAGTTGTGATACCATATGTTGTGCATGGCACACACTGTCCTGTACATTTCCTGTGAAATGCATCAAATCCATTTTTAACTTGTTTCATTATATGATATCAATTCCTTCTTCAGAAATATTCAGTTATGGCAATTTCCGACAGCACTGCAACAGAAATGCCTCAAGCAGTAGCGACAGTTCCCTGTTTTAGTTCTCCTGGGTTGTAGGCAAAAGTGCTGTGGTTTTACGAGCACTCGGTGCCAGGATTATAATAATTATAAGTGACTTTTAGTTTCAGTATTAGCATCTTCGGGGTCAGAGTCTGGGTCAAAACTAAAATTATATAAAAGTAAAAAAATGCAGTAATTAATTGGATCTAATTGTTTAAAGCACAGATTATGTTCATTGTTCTGAATAAAAATATATCAGGACAATATTAGTGACTAAGAACACCACATTTTATAGATAGTGGGTCTCTGTAAATTTTATTGGTAAAAAAATCACAATAAATAATTAGCAGTTTTTTTATATTTTTATATAAATAAAGCTTTATAAAATGTACATAATTTTTTAATATACTTTCTTTAACTTCAGTTCACACAGAAGCTTTAAAAGTGCATGGTTACATTTCGTTGTTCCCCACTGGACTTCCCTTACATTATTTGAATTAATTGTTTAGTTTTAACCTCTTTTAGCACATACTACGTCTTGAATTATACCATCTGCATGGCTGCAAAATAAACAACAGATCAAACCTGTGCTGATAACTCAAAATGTCCGCATAGTTGAGTCAACAAGGGATCTTTATGGGGAGGGAAAGGGCTGAAGGAGAACGCCATTACTCTCCAGATAATTTAAACATGTGTTGGCATTTATCTTGGTGGTCCATGTCCGAACACTAATGACAAACTCTTGTTATTAGTGGACTGAATCAAAGCCAAAGGCATGCCCACCCAAAACTTTAATCCGTTAATGTTCCCTACTCTCTAATTTGGTATTACGAAAAAATACACTACAGTAGTTCTTCAAAGTAGTATAAATACAGAGTAACACAACACATATTGGACATGGTTTGTCTTTTTTATCTCTGTCTTGCTCCCCCTGTCTTTCTTTCTCTCTTTCCCTCCCTCCCTCTCTCTCGCTCTCTCTTCATACCAGTCTTCCACCATCAAACTTTATTTTCGTGGGAAGATTAAATATTTCTGCTTGAGAACACCCTTTAAACTATGAAATGACTGCTGTCACTGACAGACAGACCCCCCTGTACACACACACACACACACACACACACACACACACACACACACACACACACAACACACAAACACCACGCTCCCCTGATTTTGGATGGATAGATGGTTGGGGAGAGGAGGAAGGAGGGAAGGGGGGGACTGAAATATATAATCTCCTGAAAAGAATGAGGCCCTCTGGGATTTTCTCAAAGTGGCCCCTCTTTGCGCTGGGGCTGGGAGAGACTGGGTGAGGGTGGGGTTGGGGGGGGACTACAACACGGCCACTCCACACTGTAACCTGAGCCAGAAGGGGGCCAATCTGTCAAATAATTAGCTGTTGCCCAGCACAAAGGTTTTATTTGCAGGAATTTCATCGAGGCAGGATTGAATAATATGTCTGTGTATTGTGCGGGGTCATGGGAACATCATCTCTTACTGGTGGGCCATAAAAGACGGCTAAATGATAATGAGAAAAGGCTCCGGTAATTCAATTCCTCAAGCGTTGGTTTCCATCTTTCCCCCCACACCCACCCCTCCTCTTCCCCTTTCTCTGAGTCTTTCTGTCCTTTCTCTCTGCTCAGCTAATTGCGGAACTTCATGTTGATGTTGAAGTGATTTTATTCAGTGTGCAGGAAAACACACGCTTATGTGTGCACACGAGGAAAATGTTTACAGATAATCAAATTTTTCTTCTTATTTATTGCTATTTGGTGTAAAATTCATGAATGAACAGTTGCATTTCTGTTGTGCAATTATGTGAACAAACAAGCGATGAATAGACTAAGTATGAATAAACAGGCAGTCAGGGAAAAGCATTTTTAAAATTTTTTACTGGTAAACTGATTGATTGAACATAAATGAATAGATAATCAGTAGGATGGGCCTCCCACTCCAAAAACCCACTGGCTCAGTTGTCTTTTTGAACATTGACCCCTGACCTCTGAGAGCAGCCAACCAGGAAGTGGATAGTGTTAAAAGGGATTGATTGGTTTGTGGTCTATAGATGATTGTTTATATCATTCCATACTGGAGGTTTGACCTTTGGTGACCCCCATGTGGACCAATCCGCTGAGAGCCATGACCTGCATCCATTTGCAACAGCGCTAATTAGCTTTGACGGGCCTCGGTTTTTGCGTCGGGGTTGTAAAATGAAGCCCTGCAGTGCCCTGATTGAAGAAAGACGCGGCGCGGCTACTCCACTTCATGCCTACCATTTCCTCCCGCCGAATGTCAAACACATTAAACTTAATGTACCAGCAAATCTTACTCAATTATTTGTATGTTGTTGAGGTGTGTGTGCCATGTGTGTTTATGTGCGTGTCTGCTGGCCCTAAATGGTGTTCATATGTCAGTGTATGTTCAGCTGTCTGAGCACACTCAAGCATGCTGGTGTTTACATGTACGAGGGGGATGAAGTGAGGGAGAGACGGAGTTCGCCGTTTCACTGCTACGTCCATGTGGGATGAGGTTACACATCCTGCAACACATTGCAGAGGGATGAGGAAACTTGCTTTTAAGTAAAATAATTGGATTATTGCATCCTGTGATCTCGCTAATTATAATGAAAGCAAGCTTACAATTTTCCAATTATTATTCTATGCCGATTCTGTTCCTCTCTAATAAAGAGGAGCACTGATGCAAAACAAAATGCCAGGACTCCATTTCCTGCTTGTGCCTTAGAGCTATTCAGAGATGAGGGACGTACACGCCCTCCAAATATCACCCCCAATACCCCACATAAAGCTGACAACAGAACATTGACAGCTCCCAAAACAGTACTCGTTTTCTGTATCAAACACAGAGATGCTTTTAAAAGGAGGAAATTATTGATCTCCTTTTAATATACATTTAATATAAAATTCTTGGAGGGATGTGTGAACTCAAAAGGACAGTACAGTACAGTTTATGTGGTTTATTCCGCTCTGTGTCCTTGGTTACCGGGCATCAAACTGACATGAGTCACTCACTCTGCCTCTGACAAATCATTGTATTCAATCTCCTCCCCTCGCGGTATCTTCCACTCTCTGCCTGCTCCTCCTCCACTACATGCACAAGCGCTTACACACACACA